GCAAAAGTGGATCCGCGAACATGTCCAAGCTAGACACTACACTGATCAAGATTGTCAATTCAGATAACTCAGCTACTCGACCCCTCGACACGATCGTGTCAAATCCTTGCTGACTGAGGCACTTCGCAATCCTCTGCGACTGGGAATTGCAATTGGGATATGATTAGCCACGGCAATCCTTTGTGCCAAAGGTGAAAAAGAGACGGGTCAAGCGTGGTTGAATCTTTCAATACCTCTCTCAAGATACTTTAAGTCTCAGACAAGGTTCCTGGTAAAACCAGGAGAAAAGCGATGGCAGCAGCAGCTTTTAGCATCTCCATTTTCGAACATGGCGTAAAGAGTGCCGCGAATTGTTAAAACGAATTCAGGAAACTGATACAGAGGATGAGCCAATAAGCCTTGTCTTCACTGGAGAGCTGCATGAACGACATTCTTCGGAAGCTCATGAATTCATTCATCTTTTACTTAGATTTGCATTCCTTCTGAAAAGAGTATGAGCAAGAAAACGATTGGCAGCCGAATGCTACACGTGTATTCGTCTTTCTGAAAGCCAGGTGATTGCCTCGGCGCCCAATACGCCCGGTGTCAAGGTCAAGGCTTCTGCTCCCAGGTCCTGGCCACTGCATCGCTGTAACCATCTTCTATTTGCAACCTAGAGCTGCTAGGGGGTGAATGCAGCTAGGGTGTCTGCGTGTTGGATCACAAGTATACCACGATATTCAAGGTGATGCGTGGATGAAATGAGATGAGATGAGGTGAGGTGAGGTCAGCAGGCTGAGCTGGGCTGAGCAAAACTGAGGCGAGCGAATGCATGTCAATGCCAGCTTTCAAGCAGGCTCTGCTTGCCTTCGGAGTCTTGCCAAAGGAGCCTGTCCCTCGCAATCCTGGAGGCTCACATCTGAAGAATCCAGAAAACCACCAAAGAAGCTACGAGGAACAAGGGCATCGGCATCGCTACTAGTAACAAAGGGCGTTACTACTACTGTAGGAGCATTCTTACTACTAGTAGCAAGAGGCAAGAAGCTAAGCTTTTGTTCCTTTGTCTTTCGATTTTGTCAAATTGCACGTATTCGGCCTTCCCTCCAGTCCTTGTGCCCGCCTGTGAACCTGCCCAAATCTGCCCAATCAAGCGTTCGAAAACACGATGTCTCAAGCTGCTCTCCGCACGAGCGGCCTTGCTCGCCTGCAAAGTCCAAAGGCTCCCGTCCCAACCTTTGAGCAGCGGCTTAGGCGGTTGCACGCATGGACCGCATGAATTTGAGGAATGCTGGTGTAAGGCTTTGGCTTTTTGTACCAATGCACCAAATGTTTGTCACGCTGCCCTTTCTCAATCCTTAATCTGTCCTCCCGTCTGGAGCGAAACAGTAAGGCACATATAAGATCGTAGCAGGGTCGATCCAGTCCTGCCACAGGAGGTGTCCTGTCATGAAACTGGTACGATGGCTCTGCTCTTTGCCTCAGCTTCAATTATGTTCCTTCTCACGCACCATCAAGTAATTACTGTACATCACCTACTGCAGCTTCGCTGAGAGAGAGGCCAATCACAATCTTTCGGTACAATCCGCCAATGGGGTCGCTCGGCATGGCTTCTGCAATCAGTGTTAAAACCCACAGTTCTGGAAAGCAAAGGAACCCAACCGACCGCTTGCCGCACAAACTACAAAAACAATTCAATTGAACAAGCAAGGTTGAGGCATCACTTCAACAGAACTCACCCGTGAATGCTGTGACTAAGTGCTTCATGGCCTTTTTTGAGAGCAAATCTAAACTATCACGCAGGCAATCGCAAGAAAGCCTACATCAAGTCTCCCGGAATCCTTCATTCGGCACATTCAATGCCGTTGCATTTCAACTCCTCTGAAATCGTCTCATGTGGTCTTTTATATATCTTTTTACCCCTTCGGCACTCTTTGCCTCTTGCTGTACAAGGGCCAACGAAGGCAGAGTGCAAAGTGCACACCCCTTTAACCTGCTTAGAGCCTTGCTCAATAGGCCAACACCCACCAACTTCCCCATATCAACCGCGAGCCAGAAATGCAAGCCATAACCAAAAATATATACATGCCAGATTCAGCAAGGCAAACAAGCAGAACAAAACCTTTGTGGCCGAGTGATGCCGTCTGGAGTAGGCAACATGATTTCACCCGCCCATCCGATTCCAGGACAGGTTGACTCATGGTCTGTGCAAGCAAAATGCAAATGAGCATCGCAATTCGCTAATGCACCCATGCGAGTGCTCGCTAAACTTAAACCAGTAGCATCACTCCTGCAAGCTCACCATCCTGATACCAATAGTACATCACCGGAAACCTGAAGAAGGACCTGTCTGTTTGTGTGTGTATATAATTGAAAATCAATTCTACCTGAAGAAGTCTCAAACAAGGCGCTCTCTCTGTCAGTGTGTCTTTTGCTTGGAAGGATTGGCGGGCTGCCGTCTGCTGCAGCAGCGCATGCCTTTTCAAGGGCAAGGTACAAACCGTCACACAAGCACTGAGTACTAAGATGTTATTGGTGTTGCGGTTTGATTTGCAATCGGGGATTATGAAGTCATGCAAACAAGGCACAAGCGATTATGAGCACGAAGAAGAAGAGCTGCACATAAAGCACCAGGTCATAACCTTCCCAGTCTTTCCCGCTCAAGTCTGCAAACATAGGAGAACACCAATTTCATTTCAGTAATTCATACGCTTAGGATATAGAGATGTAGCCTCGCAGGAGGAATTGGGAGAACTTTGTACCTCAGCTTTGACGTGTCAGAACTTTGTACACGGCCGAGTCTGACAATCTGCGAATGATGAGTCGCGTGATACTTAAATCTTTCTGTGAAGCTGCTCTCCAGCGGAGTCTCAAGCAGCTTCAAATCGCCACGCACAGCAAGCTCAAGAAGATCCGCCGCCCGCGATCTGGACGAAGTAGCTGAACCGAACATATAACAAACCATGGAGGACAAAGTCAATTGTTTAAGCACAGTACTTTTAACGAACAAATTGATGTTCAGAACTTCTTGCGTCTGGGACTTCGCACACACCACCAAACTGCTCGAGCAGGCGGGACATGGCTGCGGCGCGCTCTGCGTAGCGTTCCGTCTGCAGGACATGCAACACATCAGTGGTCTGCACCCAGCCCCCAGGAGGGCCTCACAGGCATATACAGCTCTGGAGTGGCCAGTTCATGAACTTGAGTGATCCAACAACTTTCCAAAAAGGAACAAGAACATCAAGAACGCTACTAGGAGCAAAGGGCATCGCTACTAGGGGCTCCTGGCCTTACTACTAGGAACAAGAACGCTACTAGGAGCAAAGTCCAACATATCGACTTGATCAGCAGGTACTGGGCATCAAGCCTGAGATTCCAGCACCAGCATCTGCTATACGCTGGCAAACTGCTGGCTGATCCTGACAATATTGAAGTTTAGCCAAGTCGGTGCCTTGTTTGGACCAAAAATATAAAACACAAATCAAACAATGTTAGACCCAATTTTATCCAAACCCACTCGTTCTTTGACATTTGAAGCACTCACCAATTCGCCTCAAAAAGTCTCGCGTGACGGTTTGCATCTTTCTGAGCTCCTGACACCAAACTGCGGATAGCCAATCAAAGGCACACCCAATGCCATGGACTCTGTGGCAGAGTTGCCTGTGCATCGCATTGGCCGCTCAACAATGATTGGCTTTGCTTGCAAAACTCAGCTTCAGATTTGCTGAGGACGCATGCAGCTTTGAATGCGGTGCAGCTTAAAGCAAGAAACGACTCTGGATGTCTGTGTCCGTCTGGGGTGCTGTGCCACTCCTTGAGTGCTGCGCCTCCACAGTGAGATACAAAGGCCTTCACTTTTGGATGTGCCAGTGCTCTTGCAGTTGGAATCCAGTGATGAATCTTGACGCGAATGTCGTTGCCTCACATGAGCAAGTCAGCTTTGTCACTATGGCTATGCCTTACGACTGCTTTTCAGCTTCGATGCGCAAGGGTTTGATTTCCTATGCGGAGCCCTGCCTGGCAAACCAGCTTGTTGTGGTTTTGGAAGTGCCCACAAGGTGTAAAAGTCTGGAGAAGTCAAAGATGCCAACATTGCCCTGGCCTACGTAGCAACGGTTGCAACGCATTGCAAACACCACCTTGGTGCTTGGTACTAGACAATTTTTCTAAACCATAGGATGATGCGAAAGCTTGAGGTCTTCAAAGCTCCAATCTATCGTGGCATGTAAACCCAGTATCACTCACTATCCAAGCATTTCTTGCATTCACAAGCTTGTTTCAGTAGATGCTGTTGCATGACCGTGTATGTATTTGCAGTCGCTGTCGCTTCCAGCAAACCATGTATTGAGCTTCAGACTCGATCAGGAGTTAGTCGCGCGACTGTTCCAAAGCTCACATAGACCACGGGCATGTCGGCTGGGACACCCTCGAGCCATTGCCTAGTAGGAATGGGCTCCATAAAAAGCGGTGCACAACAGCAACCTTTGCGGCAGTTGAGCATGTTTTGCTTCTACTCGCAGAGAGGCACAATGCAACCCAGATTATATAATATAATTGCATTTTTTTCAGATTCTGCGAATCTCCTTGCTACTCTGTTGAGATTCCAAGAGTCCAAGACTAAGAGTGTCTTTATCCCAGTCCGTGCTTGTTGCGGATACAGTAATTGAAACTGAAACTAATCTGCCACTGATTCACTAGCTGCAAAACCGCTACTTAGTATCCTCTAGTATGATGCCAGTTCTGCAAGCGGCAAGCGACCCTATCACAAAGCTTGCTGCAACTGATTCGCTCAACGTCTTCTGGAAAGGGTTCCATCTTCTTGACATCCACAACTGGCCCGGTGTATTGCACCAAAGGTGGTAGCGGCTGCGTGTAGTCCATTCCGGGAATGGAGTTTATGAACACTAGCCGTCCCTGCCAAAGATCCCAGCCTTATGAAATTGCGCAGAATCCTCTAACAATCCCCCCACTGAGCATGTGAATGCTGCTGAGAATTTAACTGCTTTGGAGAGGAAGCTTGAATTTCAAGCCAAGAGTCCCATCTCTGGCACCAAAGTAAACTTGTAGTCCATGGACAAAGCAGCGGCACGAAAAAAGTTCACCAAGGCGTTGAATCCAAGAACCATTATCCTGTGCAAAGTCATCACACGTGACGTGATTGAGTGAACATGATGGCGGCAGGCTGACAAAAAATAACAGCTTTGCTTGGAACAAGTCCATGTTTTGAGAACGGTACGCCTGCACACGCGAGTACATGGCTGATAAATGGTCGCACCATGAAAGGGGTCCAGGTCCACCGGCATATCCCAGTCCCACTTGCAGTATGAACACTTCTTAAGTTGAGTCTTTGCAGATTGGTTCTGCTTCCTTTATTTATGCCTTCAATTCAGTAGGCGTTATGGGCTGGGTTTGCTCTACCTTGGTCCTTGAGGAAAACAATTCGTGTGGTCTTGCCCTGAACTGGAAATCTAATAACTCCACTGTGAAGTCCTGTAGTATTCACCTGGGAAAGTGGGAAAGCGTTGTAGCTCCTCTCCCCACCCGTGCATTACCAAATTTTGTCCTGTTTGCGCTTGAATGCCGAACATCAAAAACCTTAATAATAATACATGAACAAACCATACTCGTCTAAATTTAAATAGTGCTTGTCTTATCTTGCATTTTCTTGCACAGACTACAACCCCACCAATAAAGTTGCATTTTGTGTATATCACGGATAACGTGACATGCTGTCAAAGAAGTTCTTGCTCAAGACTCAACAAAACTCAATAAGTCAATAGTCTTCGTGAAATGGTGAGTACTCGTACTAGGAGGAAACTCTTTTGTCAAAGTCCCAAGTTTCTATCATCATAATCCTCAAAAAATGAGAACATCAAATGCAAGGACGCTTGCAATGTACCTGGCAGCTTGACAAAAAAAGGCGCGTCCTGTCGAAAAAACTCATGTTGTGCACGCTGACATGGTGGAAAGGAATTGGTACGTATGGGGCAGCCCACCTTGGCAACAGCACACATAGCTTGCAACAACGCCTTTCGGAAGAAACTAAATTGTCCAAAAGCATCTGGCAATATATAAACGATAGTTCTGTGCTCTTAGAGAAATGGTGACACTTTGCCTCAAGTATCTGGACTTGTGAAACCAGCAGTCTTTTTCGTTGCTTGTGGATTCGCTCAAGTTGCAGCACAGCTGCGGAACCAAAGGAGGGACAAGAATGGTGGGAATATTGACCTCAGTTGAGGACATGTACCACTTTCGAAAAATCGTCACACATGCGCACGCACACACACACACAACACCCCTTTAACGAATGCGCAAGCCTGCCTAACCGCAACGCAGAAGTTGCCGAAGTGGGTACACAGCCTCCCTCAAACGCAGTTGCCCTCCCAGCTGAAAACTCAAAAGCTTTTGTTTATTTGTGCATAGGCCCTGGTGCATCATGAGCTTTGTTTGCGCATAACTCTGCTCTACTTGGCGGTGAATATGGAAACATTATGTTGCAGAACATTGAAACATGCAAACATCATTCTGTACGAGAGAAGGAGAGAGAGGGGGAGAATGTGCTCGTGTCACAGTGCTTCAGGATTCGATCTTGACAAGTTGCAGCGAAGTCGATGTTGTACTTCTGTAGCAACAGTCCAACACGCCCAAAAGGCATTGAAAGCAAAGCAAACGAGGGCTTCCTTGCCAGTTTGTCTGATTCTGGGAATTCAAAAGGCCAGCAGGAGCTGGACATCAAATAATCAAACAACATCAAGCAAGGAGGGCGTGTTTGGTCAAGCATAGCTAGATTCCAAGCATTCAAGTGGTGCTGCTCAATTCGACGAGCATCTGGGCAAACTTCAAATAGCTTTCCATCGCGTCCGCCAAGCCATCATTGTACGGCACCATAAGGTTGTTCATCACGTTGAGCAACTTACAGGGAATATGGTTTTCATCGGTTTTCACAGTCTTGAGTCTCTGAAGGACAAAATTCAGCCAACGCCTGCTTCCGTGTGCTGTTTGTCGACATTCCCTTCAGTACTATTTGCTCTTCTTGATCATCACTGACAGGTAGTGGGCCAAGATCCACATAAGTCAGCTTGCCTGGTATCTTGAGTACCAAAGAATGTGGATTCCAAACAAAGCCACAAAGGGGTGTGGGTAAGTTGTGGACACTTGGTGCAAAAGTGAGACTATTGAATATGTTGAATCATGCGGCCGTCCACGCGTTTTTGAAAAGGACGGACGGAACTTGCTTCTTCAAGCATACTACTGGCTTGTATGGTTTACCATGTACAGGACTTTAGCAGGGTCAAATCAATATGAACGATTAGACCGGCCTCATGGGGCTCCGGGTTTATTGCGTCGGTAAACGGTGTTTTTTGCGACGGTGCACATGTACCGGTGTTTTTTGCGTCGGTGCTGGAACGGTGTTTTCTGCGTCGGTTGGCCGGTGTTTATTGCGACGGCCCCGGGGTTTGTCGCGTCGGCAAACAGTGTTTTCTGGGACGGTTGGTGTTTTTTGCGTCGGTAACGGGTGTTTTCGGCGTCGGCTGCCTCCTCCTCTTCCTCCTCCTTCTCCTGCTCCTGCTGCTGCTCCTCCTTCTCCTCCTCCTTGTTTTTCTTCTCCTCGTCCTGCTCCTCCTTCTCTTCCTCCTTTCCTCCTCCTCCTCCTCCTTCTCCTCCTCCTCCTCTAACTCCTCCTCCTCGTCCTCCTCCTTTTCCTTGGCCTCTTCCTCCTGCTCCTCCTCCTCCTCCTGCTCCTCCTCCTCCTCTTCTTCGCCTCCTCCTCTTCCTCCTCCTCCTCCTTCTCCTCTCTTCTTCCGCCTGCTCCTCCTCCAGGCGCTGCGCCCTCCCCCCGATCCACCCCTCCCGCTTTTTTATTGTAGCAACTCCCGTATACGCAGTACCCACCGTAGCAACACCAACAACAACAGCAACAGCAACAGCAACAACAACAAAGGTCTTCCATGTCTGCAGTCCGGGGGGAGGCGCTGCGCGCCGTGCGATCGCCATCATCATTATCCCAAGCCCCATCCGCATCATCATCATTAACATCATTCTCATCATCTTGGTCATCATCTGCATCATCATCAGCATCATCATCATCATCATCAACATCATCATCTTCTTCTTCCTCTTCATCATCATCATCTTCATCACCATCATCTTCATCATCATCTTCTTCGTCATCATCATCATCATCCTCAGCCGCATCATCATCACCATCATCAGCATCTTCATCATCAGCATCATCATCATCATCGTCATCATCATCATCATCTTTTCTTCTTCGTTATCATCATCCTCATCATCATCCGCAGCCTCATCATCATCACCATCATCAGCATCATCAACAGCATCACCATCATCATCCTCATCCTCATCCTCCTCATCATCTGCGTCATCATTAGCATCATCTGCATCAACATCACCATTTTCATCATCCTCATGACCATCATCAGCCTCCTTATCCTACTACTACTGCTACGACTTCTTCTCCTCCTCCTTGTCGGTCGCCCGCCAGCCCAGGTGGACACGAGGATGGTAGACCTGAGAGAATGACCGGCTGCATGGCGTCCAGGTTGGAAGAAGGAAAAGGGCATGTCATGCGCAAGGAGATGCTGCGCAGTAAAGCAGTATTGCAGTTTGAAAGGCTTAATTGAAAGACCTGACATGAGGAAGCTGAAGCTCGAAATTTAAAGAAACTAAAAGTAGAACAAGGCTGTTACACAAAGAAAGCACTGTCAGCGAAGTTGCGGCGCAAACTTTTCAGCAGCGTGATGGACCTGCACCAACGGCTTTCTTTGAAGCAAATCACCCTGTACGTCTGCGCCGTTTCCGCGGCGGCTCAGCAGCAGTTGTTCGACGCCCGGTACGCTTGCGAGCTTTTGGGACATCATTGAGCAGTAATGAGTCCGAAGGGAATGTCGGCAGCGCCAAGCTGCGAAGGAACGTCGAATGCTCGCACTGGGCATGCATTGTTGCGGCAGCACAAGAACAAAGGAGGGACGTCGGCCGCGCCCGCACATACACAACATCTTCAAAGTGAAAGCGAAGGGCCTGCAATGAAAGATTGCCGGAATCGTCAAACAACTGAGGCAAACTGTTTGCATGCAGCAGCGTCGGCTGAAGAAGGAACCGCAAGATTCCCTGCGCCAAGCTACGATTCACCGGCGATGTGGCGGCAGTGGCTGCACAGGCAACCCACGAATGATCTGTGGACTGTTGAAGGACATAGCACGAGTTCGGTGGCAACTTGGAGAAGTTGGCTGCTGTAGTGCGCCCGGCTCGCGCTAAAGCCGCACCATTGACTAACTGAGGGTCCTGTCCGGCCGGCTGAAAAGACAAAGGCGAAGCATCCATCCAAGAGTACCAGTCTTGCCAATGTTGTGTGTAGAGCCTTTGTAGGACGCACAAGCAATGGTTGATGTCTCCACGGCCACCGAGAGAAGCCAATTCCGTTTGCCACGCGCCATGCACAGCTTCTGCGGGCTCACTGCCGCTGCCCGATCCGGGTATAATGCCATCAAAGCCAACCCAGAAACTCACATAAATAAGATCCTGTGGGCCAGCGGCTTGCTCGGAAAAGATAGATGGCAAAGGCCGCTCGTATGATTGCAACCAATCGGCTAGAATCGGTTCATCCATGCGTCGCAAAGAAGCCAGGAAAGCTTTCCAGAGCCAGCTAAACAGAGGCAATGTCGGGATGAACCGCAGCAGCGACACCACAGTCAAGGCATAGTGCAAATGCTTTTTCACATGTTTTCCTTTGTGAAGAACAACCTGACGGCACTTGGACCGCATGACCGTGTGAGATTTTTCTTTGAAATGGAAAAAATCATCACATGCCCGAGAGTGTGGGAAGACTTCTCGACGAGCTTCTTCGGCGCTGGGGTGAAAGTCCTTGTGGATTTGAAGGCTTCGCTGCTCGGGCAGAGGCAAGCGGCTCGGCCGGCGTTCTGCCCACAAGTCGCAACAGGTCCGAAAAAGGCGGCAATAGTTGGGCTTTGTTTCGGCGTGAAAAATTGCCTGCGCAACGGGCATGCCATGCGACGTCCAAGCACGGCTTTGAGTCCGAGAGCCTTTGCCAAGTTTGGGCAAGCGCGTCTTGCGCAGCTGGTCCTTGACCAATAAGCTGACTGTGGCCACGCCCATTCCGCGGGTCAACACCTTCATCTTGGTGTCCACAGAAAGGGCGACATCTAGACCAGTGTAACGGTCAAAGGTGTTCAGCGTCCCGGGAGAAGCGAAAAGGATACAGACTTCCGTATCCGTGATGATTGGGTCCCGCAGAAGAAACAATGCATCGATTTGCTTTGGAAGGCTTCGTGGCAACTGACTAACTTCCAAAGCAACCGCTGCCACAACAGACTTGTCTTTGTCGAGGGCATCCTTGTTTTTGCGGCTGTTGTTTCTCAACCAATTGGCAAGCTGGGTGTTGTCAGGCAATGATGCATCGGCACAGCCTGCAGCTAGAAGGGCCACGCGCAAATTCTTGGCCCCACGGCCACCTCCGGAGAGGAAGCGGGCAGCAATTTCGCGCTGCTTTTCGTTGAAGATTTTCCCTGACGCACAAGGTACAGCACCGTCATGCCCGGTGTGTTCACCAGATGCCTGAACGACCAAAGTTCCAGGGCTGTACAAACTCTTGCTGAGAATGTAGTGGGTTCGCCAGCAATGGGTGCACAGTTCGCTTTCTACGCAGCGAACCTCACTCAAAATGCGTTCTTTGTTTTGCCACAAAGTCCGCACGGCCACTCTGGTGTCAGCCCATTCAGGTCTGCGGCGCAGGTGCTGCAAAAGCTGCTGGTTGGACATCAAAGGAGACCCAAGCTCCACCCGAGAAATGTCGCGCCACTGGATGGCTTGCTTCTTCTTCCTTGGTTTGGCTGGTTGATTCGGGTGTGTGTGGAAGCAAAGACACAGCAGTGGACTCCGGGGAGCAAGAGCTTCAACCTTTGCAAAGTGCAGTGCCTCGTGTTGCAAAACCGTCTCCACAAGTTGCGCGTGGCGGTGCAAGTGCCCACCCAAATCAACCAGCCAAACCAAGGAAGAAGAAGCAAGCCATCCAGTG